CGCCGGGGCTGTAGGTGCACATCACCCCACTCTGTTGGGGTGATAATGGGGAGGTTCAGTCCCTCTGGGTGGTGGGCACAGGGACATGCTGTCCCACTCCCCCTGCCCCTTCCGGGTGGGAGGGAGGGACTCCGGCATCCCTGGCGGGGATAGATGCCGCAGGAGCTCTCCAGAACCATTTTCCACGTGTGGATTTTGGACCCCACACAGGGACACTGTGCCCCTTGTCTCCCCCAGGCCACCCGTCCTGAGCGCAGGCAGCCCCATCCCATCCGATCCTCCTCGGGGTGTGAGATGCATCCAGGCGGGGTGTGAAGCAGACGGGGAGAAGCTGAGCCGAAAACGTCTCTCGGAGCCGGAGCCTGACCTGCGCGATGCTGAGCCTCAAGTTACCCCGGCTGCTCAGCATCCACCAAGTGCCTAAGGTCAGAGAGGAGCTCCTCTTCCCCAAACCCGAGGCTCTGTGGGGTTTTGGGAGGTGACAAGTGGGAGCAGCGTGCCCGGGTGGCCATCCCCACCCAGGGCAGTGGTCAGCCACCCCGGGACCACCTCCCACAGCAGGGAGGGGGACACAGCTCAGCAGGGTCCTGAGTCCTGAATTATGGGTACCCGCTTCTTGACAACCTTCCTTCTCCTCGCTCTCCTCTCCTCCTTCCTTCTCCAACCACTCCCAGTGCCAGTCCTTGCCTTGCAGGGGTACCGGGAGCAGGGGATCCTCTTTGGGTATCGCCCTCCCAGAAGCTCGGCAGCAGATTGTCTCCTCAGCGTCTTCCAGATGACGAATGAGACGCTGAATATCTGGACGCATTTTGTGCCTGCCTGGTAGGTACCGAACCCTGGGTCTTCTCCTGCCGGGAGCAAGGCTGGGGAACAGGGGTGGCACCCAAGGGTGTGATGCTCACCTTCCTCCACCCCACAGGTACTTTGTGTGGACCCTGGTGGGGCGGCTGCGGGGGCCGGGGGGCCCGGAGGACCCCCACTCCTGGCCCCTCCTCGCCTACCTGCTGACCTGCTGCATCTACCCCTTCGCCTCCAGCTGCGCCCACACCTTCAGCACCATGTCCACCCGCGCCCGGCACATCTGCTACTTCTTCGATTACGCGGCGCTCAGCATGTACAGCTTGGGTGAGGATGGGCAGGTCTGCAGAGGTTTCAGGGGGGTGACAGTGGTGTGGTGACACGCTGGAGGGA